ACCCATGTCCTAGGCATGTCCCTGTCCGGGAATCAAACAATGACCTCCTGGTTCCGAGGTTGACGCTCAACCCTGAGCCACGCAGCCTGTGCTCAGCAAACATTTATTGAGCCTGCCTCATGCCAGGTACAAAGGAAACAAGGATGAAAACAGTGTCGTCTTCCTCTCTAGGGCTGCCAGACAAAGGACCGAAAGACGGCGATGGAGCCTCCCAGGCCCCGGTGCAGGCGCCCGGCCTGCCTCGGCGTGCCTGGCCGCACGGCGCACGCCCTCGGACTGCATGTCTCTGGACAAATGAGGTTTGGTCTTCTCTTCCCAGTTCCTTTCCTGGTGCTAAATAGAGCCAAAGTGATAGCAGTGAACACACATGGTGACTTCCACGTGCCAGCCTGTCTGAGCATATCACACGTGCAAAGTGTGTGAAATTCTCACACTAGCCTTAGGGGGAGCTTTTGGACTGAGCTGCTCTGGATGAGGCGTTTGGTAACGTGACCAGCCACACACCGGGGCACCGAGCCGCCGCTCTGAGCTGGGCTTTGCTGCTGGAGGAGAAGGGCCTCCAGCCCCACAGCTTCTCTGGAAATTGCTGAGGTGAGCTCCACGCACCGCAGCCCCAGCAGGATGGAGGGCCAGTGAAGACGCAAGCACATAGTAGGTGTGCAGCGGCTGTGCTGGACAGTGATCCAAACAATGAGCGCACAGCAAGACCAACAGCAGCAGGTCTCAAGTCACCACTCCATCCATCCATCACCCCAGCCCGCCCCACCCCCACCCGCCCCACCCCCCATCCCCCACCCTCACCTCATCCTCATCCCACCCTCAGCGTCACCCTCTCCCACCTCCACACAACCCCACCTCCACATAACCCCCACCCCCACCCGCCTCACCCTCACCCAACCCCACCCAAACCCACCCCCACCCACACCTCACCCTCACCTCTACGCACCTGCACCCCCACCCTCAGCCATGAACACAGCACGGACACCTCCTCCCCTAGACTTTGCTCCTCTGTGCTCCATCCTCCCAGCCAACAGACCCGCTCCTCCCGCTCCCCCCCCCACCGCCTCTCCACCCGCCCCTCCCCCCGCCTCCTCGTCTCACCCTCCACCTCTCCCCCCCCCGCCTCTCCCCCCGCCTCCCCTCTCCTCTCCCCGCCTCCCCCCTCCTCTCCCCGCCTCCCCCCGCCTCTCCTCCCCTCTCCCCACCTCCCCCCGCCTCTCCTCCCCTCTCCCCTCCTCCCCCCGCCTCTCCCCGCCTCCCCCCGCCTCCCCCCGCCTCCCCCCGCCTCCCCCCGCCTCCCCCCGCCTCTCCCCGCCTCCCCCCTCCTCCCCCCGCCTTCCCCCTCCTCCCTCCGCCTCTCCCCGCCTCTCCCCTCCTCTCCCCCCCTCTCCCCACCTCCCCCCGCCTCCCCCCTCCTCCCCCCGCCTTCCCCCTCCTCCCTCCGCCTCTCCCCGCCTCTCCCCTCCTCTCCCCCCCTCTCCCCGCCTCTCCCCGCCTCCCCCCTCCTCTCCCCTCCTCCCCCCTCCTCTCCCCGCCTCCCCCCTCCTCTCCCCGGCCCGGCTTCAGGGCGGCGGGCAGGTGAGCTGGGGCCGGAGGGCGGCGGTCGGGCTGCGGAGGAGGCGCCGAGCTGGGCCCCGCGGGGGCGGTCCGGTCCGGGGGGAGGGGGGGCCGGCGGGGAGCGGGGGGCCCGGCGGGGGGGGGCCGGCGGGGGGGGGCCGGCGGGGCGGGCGTCGCTCCGCTGCGGCGCCTGGGCGCCTGGGCGCGGGGAGCGCCGGCGGAGGCGGCGGCCAGCGGGGCTGCCATGGCGCAGCCTGACCCGCCCGCCGCCCGCTGAGGCCGCCCGACCCGCACCCGCACCCCGCAGAGCGGGCCGGCTCGGGGGACCCGCACCCGCACCCGCAGCCGCACCCGCAGCGCGGCCCGCGGAGCCTCAGGGCCGGAGCCGCCTGTGCAGCGGACGCCAGTCTCCGCCCCGCCCGGCGCCCTGAGCGTCCTCTGCCTGCGCCTGCGATGGCAGCTCCAGCCTGTGCTCCTCACCCCACCCCACCCCACCCCACCCCACCCCACCCCACCCCACCCCATCCCACCCTCACCCCCACCCCACCCCACCCCACCCCACCCCATCCCACCCTCACCCCACCCCACCCCATCCCACCCTCACCCCATCCCACCCTCACCCCACCCCACCCCATCCCACCCTCACCCCACCCCACCCCACCCCACCCCACCCCATCCCACCCTCACCCCACCCCACCCCATCCCACCCTCACCCTCACCCCACCCCACCCCACCCCACCCCATCCCACCCTCACCCCACCCCATCCCACCCTCACCCTCACCCCACCCCACCCCACCCCATCCCACCCTCACCCTCACCCCACCCCACCCCACCCCACCCCATCCCACCCTCACCCCCACCCCACCCCACCCCACCCCATCCCACCCTCACCCTCACCCCACCCCACCCCACCCCACCCCATCCCACCCTCACCCCCACCCCACCCCACCCCATCCCACCCTCACCCTCACCCCACCCCACCCCATCCCACCCTCACCCTCACCCCACCCCACCCCACCCCACCCCATCCCACCCTCACCCTCACCCCCACCCCACCCCACCCCACCCCATCCCACCCTCACCCTCACCCCCACCCCACCCCACCCCATCCCACCCTCACCCCCGCCCTCACCATCACCCCTCACCCTCACCCCACCCTCACCCCCACCCTTACCATCACCCCTCACCATCCCACCCCATCCCACCCTCACCCCCACCCTCACCATCACCCCTCACCCTCACTCCACCCCCACCCCCACCCCACCCCACCCCACCCTCACTCCCAGCTGAGTCTGCCTGTGGCCGGTGTGGGTCACTCCCTGGGATGTCACAGGGCCCGCACTCCCACCCGCACTGAGGCTCCAGAGGGTAAAGTTCCGCCCAGACCATACTGGCCACTTAGAGACCAACTGGAACTCAAGTCTGTGATGGACGCCTACTGTCTTCTTGACTAGAGAAATCCGACTGTAGAGAAAGCTGTACAGAATGAAGCTGTCTCCAAGGCTTTCTTGGGAGAGGCTTGTGGATTCAAGTGTGCGGGTCCACAGATTCCTTACTTGTCAGAGTGGATGAAGCAGTAAGTGTGGCCAAGCAGAAAACTGCTGCTGAGAGGAGACGGATATATAAAATGTCTTTGACTTTTTTACTTGTACTTTAACAGAGAGCTAATCTATATAATAAAAGGCTAATATGCAAATTGTCCCCTTGGGAGTTCGACCACTTGCTATGATGTGCGCTGAACACCAGTGGGCGGCAGCCAGGGGAAGGAAGACCCCTATCAGCCCTGACTGATGGCCAGGCCTAGGGACCCTTCCGTGCATGAAATTCAGGCACCAGGCCTCTGTGAATATTAATAACATCTTGGTTATTTTTAGAGTTTAATCCTGAATGACTTAATTGATTCATTTACAGTCGTTCTTATCCTGATGTTTCTCACAGTAAAAATTCCAAACGGTGGGTTTCTGTTCCATGTTTAGTAAAGAAATTGTCTCAAAGATATATATTTTAAAGATATTTTTATATCTCCACAAAAACTTTGCAATTGCACCTCAAAACCTTGCTCCCCTCTTCGATTTGATTTCAGAGCAGAGCAAGCCTAGAATCCCTCCTCACAAAGACCAGCAGCCGTTGGGCCCTCGGTCAGGGTCGCCTCAGGCTTCCGCTTGGACTGATCAGCTTGTAAGTCTCATCCACACTTCAGTTGAGTTTAGTGTCAGTGTGAAACCACATTAAGCTGCCACGTGTCATGCGAGTTCCCACAAGTGGTGGGGGTGCTCCCATAAAGCTACTTACTGGGCTTTTGACATGTGAACACGTTATCTAAATCCTGTCTTATACTACATGCTAGCGGCCTGGTGCATGGGATTTGCGCTCGGTTGGGGGTGTGGCCCGTGGGGATCGCCCTCATCCCAGTCAGCTGAGTGGCTGGGGAGCCCCCTCCGGGCAGCTGCTCCCAGGTCTGGCATCTCTGTGGAGCTGGGCCCTCACCTCTCCGGGGGACCTGGCCGGGACTCGGCCCGGGACAATAGCCCTGAGAGATGGCAGAGTAGGCCTCAGTCCTGGGGCAACCACGAGCCCACCTTCCAGCCTCCACGGTCCACACTGCGTGGCCTGAAGATGTCCAGAGGAGGAGGCAGGGAACCAGAAGGAGGAGGCTGAGGGGGAGGAGGTAACATTCACAGCGCAGTTCCTGCCCCTCGGCCCAGGTTTCAGAGCGGGAGCAGCCGCTCACCTGCTCAGCCGAGCACCTCTCCCCTGTGGGAACACACTGACCACCAGGGAGCAGCTCCTGCCTTGAGCAGCTGCCCCCTGGTGGTCAGTGTGTGTCATAGTGACTGGTCGACCGATCATTCCGCTGTTTGGTCCCTGGGCTTTTATTATATAGGATATTATGTGACGTTATTCCCAGGGTCAGTCATCACTGGAGGTGATTACTGGCATTTACTGATCGTAACATTGTGTTACAGTAGACAGTCTGCTAACTCACCATGCAGTGCCTGGTATTCCACTACAGCTTGTACCAGTTGCAACATGTTATCTTTTAAAATATTTTTATTGATTTCAGAGAGGGAGGGAGAGGGAGAGAGAGATTGAAACATCTTTGATGAGGGAGAATCATTAATGGGCTGCCTCCTGCAGGCCCCTACTGAGGATCAAACCCACAACCCGGGCCCCCAACTGGGAATTAAACCATGACCTCCTGTTCATAGGTCAATGCTCAACCACTGAGCCACGCCACCCAGGTCCGACATGTTATCTTGGAGGAGCATGGAATCAGAGGTCCAGGCACACTAACGAGGAGATGCGTGGATATGTGTCTAAGGAAGCAGTGCTTCCGGGAAGGTGCTCTCTGACCCGGAAGTGAAGACTGTACTCAGCTGAGCCCAGTGCTGTCTGCCTAGGTGCGTCCCCTGTGATTCTGGTGCCGGTCTCTTCCCGCAGGATGGCATTAGCCCTGTGTCTGCAGGTGCTGGGCAGCCTGGGAGGCTGGCTCTCCCTCTACTTTTCTTGCTGCCACGTGAATAAGCACCGGAGCTACGAGTGGAGCTGCCGGCTGGTCACACTCGCCCACGGAGTCCTCGCCATAGGCCTCTCGGCGTACATTGGCTTCATCGACGGCCCGTGGCCCTTCACCTACCCAGGTAGTGGAGACAGGCTTTTCCCTCGGACTTACAGTTCGGGGGTAATCTTAAAGGACAGGACGTTTTTCGCCCAGAGAATTTGTACACTGTAAAAGAATACTGAAAATAATTTCTGATATCATTTCTATTGGGATTCTTCATTGTTAGCTGTGATGTTGTATATGTCACCTATTGCTTCTGCTTTCCATAACTCTCTACCTTTAAAACACACTTAAAATGTTGTTGTGATGTAATGCATCAAAATGTACAAAACAAGAAGCCAGTGTCAACATCTCCCACCTCTTCCCTAAACAGACACAAATGGACGGTATTATACATACTTATTAGTAACCTGCAATTTTTACTTGATTGTATATTCCAAAGATATCATCTTTCCATATATATGGAGATAGAGCTTCCCTTTTCTTTTAGTTATTACATAATATTGTGCTTTATGCATTTGCCATCACTTATTTAACCAATGCCCCATAATTTGGGGCAGCTATATTTTTCAGCTGCGACATGTGAGTGCTACTTTCTTAGAATACAAAGATCGTGCCCCTGTGTGAGTTTGCTGGGGCAGCATAGTGCAGGGGTTCCTGGCCGGTTTGCTTTCTCCTGCGTCCTCGCTCCTCTGCAGATGGTGCCTCTTTGCTGTGCCCTCACATGGCCTTCCCTGTCTCGGGTGTCTGTCCTAATCTCCTGGTTTTATGCGGTCACCAATCACGTTGGTGAGGGCCCACCATATGGTCCTGTTTAAATTTAATCACCTCTTTAAAGGCCCTGTCTCCCATCCTGAGGTTCTCGGGGTAAGGACTTCAGGATATGAATTTTGGGATGACATAATTCGGTCCCCTAGAATAAGATTTTAAAAAACACCTTAGATTCTTTTCTTTAAATTTTCTTAGATTTCTATATTGAACTTCTGAGTTTCCTTCCTAGGTTACTGTCTCTCAATCAAATTGATATGAAAGCAATTTTTTAAGCTTTGTGTTGTGTGCATGAAGGTGTTTTTTTCCTCTAGGTTCTTAATGGATTTGAACATGTCAGATCCTGCACCCTATGTTCTTGGATGTGGAACACACTCATTTCTGGGGTTCTTTCCAAAGTCCACTTTTAAAATGGGTTAGGGTCACCAGTGTCCAGCACTTTTACTCAGTACATTATGTAATTTATAACATTCAGGACAGGCCAATTAAAAGCTTTGGAAACAGAATTTTAGCTGGGGGGGGAAAAAAAGAAAGAAGGAAAAGAAACTGTATAGGATTTTAACTTAAAGAACAAAATAACTGGATTTTACGTTGCTACACAGAGAGTGCACTGAAATCACTGCTGGTGCCAGCCCACTTACTGAGAGGTCTGTTCATCAGAACAGCACTCTGGGCCTGGAACGCTGTTTGGTTTGATAAAGACTAAGTTTTCAGATTTCCTTAGGCTGTCATTTTAAAAGCATGTAATTACCATTGTTTTGTTTTTAAAAAAATATTTTTTAATATATTTTTATTGATTTCAGAGAAGGGAGAGGGAGAGATTGAAATATCAATGATGAGAATCACTATTGGCTGCCTCCTGCACGCCCCCACTGGAGATTGAGCCCACAACCCTGGCATGTGCCCTTGACCAGAATCAAACCCCAGGCCCTTCAGTCTGCAGGCCGACGCTCTGTCCACTGAGCCAAACAGGCCAGGGCTCTATTATTTTTATTTCAATATTTTAGAAAGGATTGAGAGACAGTAACCTAGGGCCCCTGTGTGAGGCAGCACAATCCCCGGGCGCTCAGTTTGTTTCTGTCTTGGTTTGTTTCAGGCTCACCCAATACACCTCTGCAAGCGCACGTCCTGTGCCTCACCTTGGGCTACTTCATCTTCGACCTGGGCTGGTGCCTCTACTTCCGGTCGGAGGGCGCCCTGATGCTGGCACACCACACCCTCAGCATCCTGGGCATCACCATGGCCCTGGTGCTGGGAGAGTCGGGCACAGAGGTCAACGCGGTCCTCTTTGGAAGTGAGCTCACCAACCCCTTGCTGCAGCTGCGCTGGTTTCTCCGCGAGACAGGGCGCTACCACGGCTTCGCTGGCGCCGTGGCGGACTTCCTCTTCGTGGCCCTGTTCACGGGAGTGAGGATTGGCTTGGGAGCTCGCCTCCTTTTCTGCGAGATGGTCTCCCCCAAGCCCCGGTGGTTCATGAAGGCCGGGGGGGTGGCCCTGTATGCCGTGTCCTGGGGCTTCATGGTGAGCATCTGGCGCTTTGCCTGGAGGAAAAGCATCAAGAAGTACCAGGCCTGGAGAAGCAGGCGGGGCGAGGAGCCGCAGCGGAAGCGAAACGGGCACCTCAGGGCGCACTAGGGACCGCACCGGCCGTGGCACCCAGTCTGGACACAGGGCTGGCACGCAGTCCCGCTGTCTAACAGACATAGGTTTCAGAGAAAGGGCCTCGCTTACCGATCAGCTCCACGCGGAGCATGACTCCTGCGGTGCGGGCGGTCCTGTCTGTCTGCTGCCTGGGGCCCGCGGGCTGGCAGGGTGTTCCTCACACAGCTCAGAGAGGAACCCGGGGAAGATGGGCTACTTCGTCCTTATATCTTAGAGGAGTGCCTGTGTCAACAAACACTACCATTTTCCATGTAGCAATTTAAACAAATCCCGCCATTTACTATTAATACAAGGTGGGTGCCTGTTAGGGAGACTCATGCCTGTGGCCTCTGAGCGTTGGATCAGAGAACGGCATCTGCTGGCTTAACCGGAGGGGAAGCGAGGTGAGGGGGGCTGTGGCTGTGAGTGGCTCACCGGTTTAGCCTCCCTGTGCCGGCTAGGTTGGGGTCCCCTTTGGGTTTGATATTTGGTGAGAGGACCCCGCATGTGGTTGTACTCCTAACTCTGGCTGAGATGGTGCAGAGTCAGAGAGAGAGCAGCAGAGGAAGAGGGGCCAGAGGCAGCACGCGGGCTGTGCTGATTCCTCTAGCAATGGTTTGGGACAGTGTGTGACATGGCTGCCAAGGAGGCTCATTTGAGATCAGGTTTCCTCGGGGTGGTCACAAAGGCAGCCTTTGCTGGCACAGAGACGTTCCTGACTGCCAGGAGGGAAGTCAGTGCTGAGCATAAACCGTGATGTTTGTGCAGTGAGCCGGTCTGATTGGTGCATGGAGCTCTTCCCACATCCGTGTTCGCAGCTGCCAGCCCAGGGCCGGCCTTCCCAGGACAGCCCTCGGGCCTGCTGTGTTCAAAAGCCACAGAGCTGGGGCATGGCTACGAGAAGGAGGCCTGCTCTCTGGGCTCTGCTCCGCCAGGGAAAGTGCCCTGGCCAGGGCTTCTGTGCATTGAAGTCCTGGGCATGAGCAGCTGTGACGGTTCCACAGGATTTCCCATGTGGACGCCACTGGACTTGAGGGAGACGGAGTCCCGTCTGCGAGTCTACTGTGCTTAATGCAGACTACAACAAAACACCAAAATGTGTAGTGGCCTCAGGGCAGCGAGTCTTAAGTTTTCATTTCGGATACATCCCCTTTCGGTCCTCTTACTATTTCCCCTCTTCTCTGGAAGAGGTACCGCCATCCGTGGACACATATTATGACAAGGCCAGTCTAGGAAGGGACAACAACAACAAAATTAGTGTGATAGCCTCTAATCTTACCCAGGAAAAGCAAGAATGTGAACTTAGAATGAGAAGTTTGGAATCAAGAATGCCTGCGTTCTTTTCCAGAATTGGCTGCTCCCTGGCCAACTTCTGGGGGCAGGTCACTGATTTATTCTTCCCTCGTGCAAATCCTGCTGTGAATGAATGAAATGCCCCATTGTGCATGCCATAGAGATGGTATGTAGCATTTCTTTAATGCATTATTTATTTCTATTTTTGCTATTTGTTTGATTGTTATTTAGATCAGTGGTGATGGATTGGCTGTTGGTGAGAAAGTGTATAGGACTATTGAGGTCAAGGCTGATGTCAGTAGCAGTTTCAGCTCATCTGAGGTCACTGGTCACAATAACCTTATGAGGCTCTTGAAAATGCACGCCACTTACCACCAGGCAGAGTGCTTGGGACCACATACCATCATCACTGCTCCGTGGAAGCAGCTTTACAGGCTTGTTCACCGTGCATCTTTTTAAAATGGTTGTCATTTGGTTAGTGTTTTGCTGGACATGGAAATAATCTGACAGTGAAATCTCTATCTCTTTCTTTCCCCTGTGATCATAATCCCTAAAATGTTGGCCAGTTTCTTTCCAACAAAATTATGGTCAAAGCCGAGTGCTGGGAGTGCTGACTTCAGCAAAAGCCCAGCAGCAAGTGGCAGGGAGCAGGAGCTTCCGAAAGAAAAGCAGCTGGCTCCTCACGGTGGCCACGCAGCCCGCCCCAGACCAGACACATGGGCAGGCTGCCCTGCTGCCAGTTCCTCCCCCTCCCTCCCCAGAAGCAAAGGGGGGATTGCAGATCTTGCTGCTTTGGGGTACTCTTGTGTGAATGTATGTAGGTCTTTGAAATTTGAGAAACCTAAAGAATGATAAGGGAAAGAGAATCCCTCATCTCAGCTTATCTTGTTGTTGTAACTAATAAATGTGAAGGAAATCGAGAGAAAAATGTGAAATGAAGATGACCACTTAAGATGCTGAGGACCGGAAGGGCTAATTAACATGAGGGATGAAGTGCTCGTTTGCATTTGGATTAGAGGGCTTACATTTCAACATGATTTGTACTGTTTTATAAAAATAAACCACTTTTTACCCATCCAGAGTTTGCTTTATACTTTTGTTGTGGTTTTGCCAAGAGGTTTGTAAAGAAGTGTTAGGCCTGTGGAAACGCTGACCCATGCCTCACGTTTCCCAAAACGCCTCCTGCCTGCTGCTTCCATCACCCACCCTGGCCTGCGTTACTCCAGGCAGCAAGCTACACACAGAACAGTGTGGCAGAGGAGAGAGGACAGGGTAATCTCTGTCATTTTGCCCGTTTGGGCCGTTGCCTTGAAGATAACAGAGTGGCTCCCTGAGAACGGCCCCGGTGCTCAGAACAGACTCCCGGGGTGCGGTAAGCTGAGAGCGCGGATGAGGAGGTGAGAAAGCCGCTCAGAGTAAGCGCATTGTGCAACCTCGGCGACCATGCACCGGAGTTGGGGCTCCACAGTCACGTTCCTCCAACATTTTTCGGTGAGGAACTAGTGACCTGGGGTGTGCCAGGATCGCTGAAGGGGTTCTATAGATGGAGCATTCAGAACAGTCTAGAACACCCAACCTTCTCTTAGCCATGCCCCACCTACGCACTCGAACATCCTGATGCCCCTGTGACATAATTCTCATTAAAAAAGTGAACTCCCGCCCTAACCGATTTGGCTCAGTGGCTAGAGCATAGGCCTGTGGACTCAAGGGTCCCAGGTTTGATTCTGGTCAAGGGCATGTACCTTGGTTGCGGGCACATCCCCAATGGAGAGTGTGCAGGAAGCAGATGATGGATGTTTCTAGCTCTCTCTCCCTCTACCTTCCTCTCTGTAAAAATCAATGAAATACATTTAAAAACAAAAAGTGAACTCCTATTCACGAGCAGGAAGCCTAAATATTAACGTGGTCTAAGCAAGCTTCCAAAGAGCATGCATCCATGAGAGAAAAATCAAAGAGCAAAAGGACAGTTTAAGTCCTGAGGAAGAAACCACTAAGAAATTGTTTAAAAAAATAATAATAATATGAAGTGATATAAAAAATAGCAAATAAAATTTTAAAACGTTTAACAGAGAACTGAAATGCACAAATAAGTCACAATATATACGTATATACTGTATAATAAGCCCCTAGAACAATAAAAAAATGCAAAAATTCACTGTTAATAACTCATTTTTGAATTGTCCCCCTTAAAAATCACATTGCCCCCCTGTGGGGGTGTGCCCACACTGGGACCCTGGGCTGGAGCTACCAACACCTGGGAAGCAGCTCTCAGAGGCGTTTCTGCCGGCAGGGCTTTGTGGTGAGCAGAGACCATCATTAAAAACAACAGTCTGGAATGAATGAAGGACTGGCTTAATTAAGTCCTCTGCTGTCTCCTGAAACTTTCCCACAGCAAGAACCTTCTTTGCTCACAGCTGGAACTGTGGGCCTGTTTAACGTTGGAAAGATCTTGAAAGCAGTCTGCCAAGAGGTTTTGTATGCAAGGAAAAGGAGGTGAATCAGGAAACTTTCCCAGTTGTTTTATTCCTGAAGCTCAATAGTGAGGCATTCTTGAAGAAAAGAAAGAAACTCGTTTTTAAAATGCATGATTTGATGAGTCATTGGGGTAACTATAAAATTATTAGGACAGGGCAAAAAAAAAAAAAGACATATTTAGTATGTGTGAGAAAGATATAAGTTTGGGAATAAGTTTGCACTTTGGTCATTGTATATTGATGGATGGGACTCTTTTCAGTTATATGTAGAAAATAATTGTCTTCAGGACAGAATTGTCATGCTACCAGCAGGTGGTGATATATCCTGGTTTGATTATTTGGAAAGTGGCTTAGAACTCTAATTCACTTCTATTCTTTCTCAAAATAAACATTACAAAATTAGCTGGCTGTGCCCTGAGCATAAAAAAGATCAAGCAATAAAGAGTCATCTCGCCAAAACCGCTTTGGCTCAGTGGATAGAGTGTCGACCTGAGGACTGAAAGGTACCAGGTTCGATTCAGGTCAAGGGCATGTACCTTGGTTGCGGGCACATCCCCAGTAGGGGGTGTGCAAAAGGCAGCTGGTTGATGATTCTCTCTCATCAATGTTTCTAACTATCTCAATTCCTCTCTGTAAAAAAAATCAATAAAATAAATTTAAAAAAATAATAATAATATGGAGAGAAATGATCTTTACAACAGTGAATTACATTCCTATCCAGGAACATATATGACTCCATTTATTCAAGCCCTTTTTATGCCTTTCAGTATAGGATAATATTAATTTTTTTAAAGTGAGTTTTTATAGACCACAAATCCAACATATGCTGCGTTTTACAAAAATCCAAGTGTGCAAGAGGCAGCTAATTGATGATTCTCTCTCATCGATGTTTCTAACTATCCCTCTCTCTTCCTCTCTGTAAAAAAATAAATAAAATATATATATTTTTTAAAAAGAGTCATCTCCGGCCTCTGTTTATCTTTTCCTTTTTGTTTTCAACCCTTCTAATTTTTTTTTTAATAAAGTAAAATCCACTAAGAACAAGTAATAAACATGTATAAGAAATTAAAAGGGTAATATGCAAATTGACCATCACACCCATGCACAAGATGGCCACCCCCATGTGATTGCAAGATGACTGCCCCTATGTGGTCATAAGTTGGCTACTACAAGATGGCCAGCAGGGGAGGATAGCTGTGGGCAATCAGGCCAGCAGGGGAGGGCAGT